TCTTTAAGAACTTCCAGGAATGGTGTAGTGACCAGAAGATGTATTCACGCAAGACGATGAGCTGCCCGCGCTGCTTTTGCAGATGGCTCCAAGAACGGAGGCGGATCGGCCATGGAGCCAACACTCTGGCGCGTGGTGTGGAGAAAGGTTCCCCCGGCAGCACGTGGAGATTCAGGCCAGGTACATCGGCACAAAACCATCGTGGGGTGCGGCCAGGTCGGGGCCGCTACCTGACCTTTGCTGTGCGGGATGCCTGAGGGAAGTTGTGAACTCTGGGGAGGAAGGAGGAATGACCAGGACTGTACCTCTGTCTTCACGGCTGCCCGGCCAACCAGCGCATTGACTTCAGAAACTTCAAGGCTCGGTCTGCGGGAGGCCCAGAGCACAGGAAGGCCCCGCCAGCACGCGGCGCTCAGGGCTTTCACCTACCACCAGTCTGCCAAGCGCCAAGTGCGCAAAGAGCGGCTCCCAGTGGGAGGACCTGTACTTTCAGTCCTGTGTGTTTGACCTCCTCTCCTTCTGGAGACATTAACTTCACAATGGCAGCCCTACTACGCCTTTGAGTGATGTCAAAATTGCTCCACTCCAACAGCAAAAGATGACCACATCTATGAAAAGGAACTCTTTTTGAATAACGCGCCACAGAGGGGCAAAGATTTCCTTTCATCTCTTCTCCTCAACGCTCCTTGCTGTCTTTATTGTGGATTGAGTGTTGCACAGCTCATCTTATAATCTCCTCTTCACAACAGGATCCTCATGGTGTAATCTGTCAGTGAGTGTTAGGAGTGCTTCTGGTTCTGTGATGTGAACTCCTGAGTCTCATTTTAGTAGTGTTGGTTCGTGTCTGGACTTCAGTCTGTGATGACCAGACGGAGTCGACACCGTTGCTCCCCACCTTTCATCACATGTGTTTTAGCTGCTTTCATAGGGGACTGGTCTTTGATGAGAGCAGCGGTTGAGAGGAGCCCGGCTTACCTCCAAGAGCTCAGGATATCCACCTGGGAGATTAAAATACCCACATTCTCACCGGGGGCCTGCATGCCGATGGGAAGCGCCCGGAACAAGATGATTCTTTTGCAGAAAGGAAGAGTTTGCTGATCCTCCCCTCTCCTGATCCACTCATTGGTGCCCCAAGCCAGTGAAGCTCTCCGTGGCTCATGTGGCCGGGCAAGGA